CATGCAGTGCTGCCATCTTCTGTTTCAGTCCGTTATTACACTCTTAAATCCTACTACTTATTCCTGCGTCTTTTGTGATCTTACAAAGCTTCAAACGACGCGTCGACTATTAAATCAGTCGTCGACGATTTTGATAGTCGACTAATCGTGGCAGCCCCAGCTGTGATCATAGCTTTGAGTCTGTCTTCACGTGTCCAGCACCAAACACACTTCTTCACATCACAACACGGTGCAGCGTGGACCATCGATGAGTGGCACGCACACCTACACCCTGTTTCTGCTCTGACTGGCAGCTCCGTCTGCTCCATCCCTCCTCCGCTCATGTCCACATCAAAGTGCAACCTGAACTGTTGCTATTCTCATTCCACCTTCACACACGGATCCTGTTTCTGCTGAGCTTCCTTTGTCGTTCTGTCCCTCCACCTCTGCCACCTTAGTCTCACCTAATAGTTCACAAACTCCTACACCAGCTGTCCATCACCACTGCAGAGGCTCCACCCTAAAACCTTTGACTGTAGACCTCAGCACCGTCTGTGCCCAACACTTTCACAAGCTTCTGTCCCTGCAGAGCACAGCTCTTCTCGTAGCTCCGATCCTGTGTTTCTCTATAGACGGTGCAGTTCCTGTACTCCATCAACACCCAAGCAAACGGCTCTGGTGGTTCCTCCATCTCTCCAGTGTCACCACAGATGCTGACATGTAGGCGCTGCTGCTGAGCTCTTTATAGATGAGAGCTCTATGACAGAGGTGCTGTCACCTCTGTCTATGGGACGAAATCCCAAAATAAAGGAATCACGTCCACAAAACAAAATGTGAAAAACTAAACGATTAAATGTAAAAACAAACAAAAAGTGAAATCTGTGATAAACAACACGAAGCTTTGAGTTGTGCAGTTTTATTGCTGTTGTGAGGCTGAGAGCTGCCAGCAGCAGCTTCAGGGAGCGCTGGCGTTCATCTTCTCCTGGCAGCCGTCCCAGAAGCTCTGAAGTCTGTTGTCTTTGTTGCTGCAGAAGTCGGTGAAGTCTCTGAGCAGCCGGTCGGCCAGCCGCTCGTCGCCCAGCACGCCGGTTCTCCACGCTTTGGTCAGCATGGTGTTGTAGGCCCAGTAGTAGCCCACCCTCTCCTCTCCTCCGAACGGGCCCTGGCTGTTGGAGGTGGTGGAGTTTCTACGGCGCCGCTGCTGCCCGCTCGAATACTTCCTCTTAGCGTACGGCAGCTGCAGGAACACGGTGCCTGAAACAAGGCGGTGAAACTGGTCAGCTTCCCACAGACACAGTGGGTCTTTGTGC